TTTGGGGATCATTCGGATGAAACGTGGAAACTTTTTGTGGATAATATAAATTTGTAAAGCTTGAATGAGGGTTTCATAAAGAGCATTAAGTTATGCCTGATTATTATTACCTACTAGAAATTTAATATATGTCCTCTGATGTATATAACTTTCAGTGCTAAAGATACAAAAAGAAGTCTGTTGGCTCTTTGTCTTAACGAACATTACCATGTGACAGACAGCAGCTGTGCATTCATGTAAAATATTCAGACATGCAGGCAGCAGACGAGGAGAATTTTGTCTGATAAAATCTCAAGCTGCAGTTGATGTTGACCTAAAACCTGCGTCCTTGTTAGACGTATGAAGGATTTTTTATCACACCATTTTCTAAACAGCTCTGAAAGGTGAAAACTAGCAAGATCAATGGTTTTTCTGACTGTATTTAATATGAATGTACTGTGCAATCCTTAAAAAGAACAAGACAATACACGGAGACTACATAGACCTGTTGAGGATTAACACACTTTCTTCTCAAACAAAAAAGATAATTTTAAATTCTGTTCATGATGCAGAACATGTATCCGACAGATTTTTCTTTCATTCTACAACATGATTTTCTTCTCTCTTATAGACAATCCGAGTTCTGAGGAAAATGGTGAATGTTTTACCTGTAAGTATAAAACTGATGATCGTGGAGAGGTGACAATATTCAGATGAGCTTTCCACTGCACTATTACCTTCAGACAGGATCAGGAGTTTTATAATTTTGTAGAGTAGATTATTTTTCTCCCTCTTTGCATTTAAATTATTGTTTAATATTAGTGCTTCTAACAACAACAACAACAACAACAACAACAACAACAACAACAACAACAACAAATAATAATAATAATAATAATAATAATAATGATAATTATTATTATTATTATTAATGTTATTTCTATAGTGCTTTTCTAAATACTCAGACGCTTTACATGAGCTAAAAAATATAAAATCAACAATGCATCACATAAGAACACAATAAAACATTTAAAATGGGCACATTTAAACATTAAAAGCAATTTTAAACAATCTGGATTATAAGGTAGCTGTAATCAGCAGAATGATGAGAAATTCTCAAAACACCAGAGGCTGTGCTCCAAAAGGCAATTTATTTTTCTGACAAAAGGTGATGTCAGAAAATTAATTAAGCATATAAGCTTAAGCATTAATGCTTTAATATTCATATCACGTTATCTCCATTATATGATAAATTGGATATATATTCAGTTAGATGGGAACCAGAAGTCACCAGATGAGTAATCCAACCTACCTCATAATCCTAGTCTACCTCATCATCCTGTGGTCTACCTTATTTTCCCAGAAGTTGAGCTCACCTTGCCCTCCAGAGGACCGCTTTAGACTTTGTATGAAATAACCTTGATTTTTTTTTCTTCCCCATTTTGGAATTTACCCTTTGACTTTTTAGAATCTACCTCAACATCTGCTGGAATTCTTCAGCTGTATGGACACCATTATTTGCGATTCATCCACCATGGAATTGGGTTGTAAATTGCAAGTGGGGGAAATGTAGTGCCATACATCAGACCACTACTCTCTGACTCTTAAATTTATAGGTTTATACAAACATTAATTTTTGCTTAGCTTGCCCCACCAGTCTCTGGACAATATCATAAGACATCTGAGATTTTCAGCTTTTAAGTTGTCACACCAAGATTTATTAAAACAGACTTCCTTTGTTAACTCTCAAGTTTGTTTTTTTCTCTCTAAGCATTAAGCATAATAAAATTAATTTCTCATCAGTAAATTGTAAATATCTCCAGTTTTAAGTTAATTCATAAGAATAATTTTGGCCCTGCAGGGTGACGTTCTTATAACAAAGTGCACTTACAACACTGAGGACAGGAGCAAACCCACAGTGGTAAGGAAATTCTATGTCATTAACACAAATTTCAACAGTTTTCTGCAATATATTTGCTGTATGTATTTAATTCTGCTTTGCTTACAGGGAGGTTTTGGCATCATGGAGGAGATGTGCGTGAACTACATTCACTACTACCCTCAAACTCAGTTGGAGCTCTGTAAGAGCCACGTTGATCCTGGATACCTGCAGAAATATTTTACCTTCATCAGCAGGTGTGGACATTGTCACCCTCCCTGAACCCACCAACTTGTTCCTTTAGTTTTTACTTCTGTATTATTTATTTATTTACTGACATATTTCAATTATCTGACATAAAAGCTCACAATGTCCAAAGTATGTATGATAAGAATCAAATATAATTGCTCAGCAAAATAAAAATATATTGGAGAATGTTTAAAAATTAGCTAAATTTGGTCCTGTTTTAGTTTCATGTCCACACTGTCAACTTCACATTAAAGTGATAGATCAGACCTTTTTATTTAGGGTTTTGTAAAATTACCTGTTGTAGATGGCTACTTGAAATACCTCTCTTTGGATGATAAAATAGCAACAGCTTGAATCATTTTGACATTGATGAGACTGGAGTTGATTTAAAGACTGCAGCAATACTATTTAAATTGGCCCCACTCCAAACACTTGTCAAAAATAAACTATTTTTTCAAACTGAGGTAGATCAAAGCGCTGTCTACAACAGGTAGGATATTTATTCTTAAGCTTTCCACAAACCTCTGCTTCAAATGCCCTGAACTTTTCATTTAACATCTCCAATTATCCAGGTTTAATGGAAACGATCAGTGTGTGTGCGCTGAGGTCAGCGTGACGGAGCAGTTCTCTCAGCTCCACTGGGATGAATTTACTGGAGAAGTGCTAGACTCACTTTATAACACAGCTCCCTTCTACATGCACTGCAACCAGTCGACCGCACGCCTCTTTCCCGTGAGTCTCCAGCAACACACACACTAGTTAAACCAGTTCAACAGCAGTTTTAAGGCAGAGTCAAACTCACTCACTTCCACTAATTTCTTAGATGCATCGTATTTTATACACTGTCCAGAAAGAACTGTGTTGCTACTTTTATGCTACTTTTATAAAAACCAGCTGTTTAAATATGAATGGGAAGATTTGTTTGGCTTCCTAAGAATTTTTTAATAAAAACTTAGTTGTAGCGAAAGGAACATTGTCTTTAAACAGCCCTTCTGGTGATGTTGCCAATTAGCACTTTGCTATAAACACAGATCCATTCATTGTTTTTATCTTCTTCAGGGTGAATGGGAAAAGCAGCCGTTACCAGAGGTAACCTCAGTCCTTCCAAAACATCGATACCCCTGCGAAGGTGGGACAGTACCCACTAGTTGAACCTGTGCAGCCGTTAGCGGGTCGTTTAATTCTTCAAAGGGTTTAAAAAGTTTCTGTGATGTAGCCGAGTTTGTCTTAGTTTCATCTTAGTGTTAGATGCTCTGTGCATTTCATCCACTATTAGCTGTGATTACACAGCTCCACTGTCTGAGGTTATTATTAGTGCATACTAATTAAGTTAATAACAGTCCTGTTCATGTCATATTTCAAAGAAATTATATGGACTTTCATGTACGACACACACACAAATTTTTTTTTAAAATTAAAGACGTATAGAAAAGATGCAGACATTAAATGTTTCCTCCAGTATTTTGTTATTCAAACATGAGGTGTGTAAGATGACAAATAATTAAAGTTCATAGTTCAAATGTGGTGTATTTGATTGTTTATTAAAAGATTACAATGTTGACCCCTCTGTTGCTTCATTTCTTTTTCTTTGAAAATTTTCTGCATATTCATCCTCTTATCTTTGGTCGGATCGCGGAGCCAACAGGTGCACAAATTAAACCTATACATCCTTCTCCTCAGCTCCTCTTAGACTAGACTCATCTGGGTCTTTCTTGGAGTCTCCCCCCAGTCGTCCATGGGAGACACGCAGGCATCCCAATCAGAGGCGTGATCGACCTCAACTGACGCTATTCAATGAGGAGAAGCAACAGTTTTCCGGTTCCAGGATCTCATACTTTTGACCATAATCTATACATTATGACTATAGGTGGAGGTTGTAACAGACGGGCCAGTAGGCCTGTCGCAATGAACAATAAATCAATTAATTGCATGATAAATGAAAATTATCAACCAAAAGGCTCAACTCGGATTCTCTTCACTGACCCCTCCCTTTCTCTTTAAAATCCATTTTAACCATCCAAAATAGTGAAAGCAGCTAAGCTGAGAAGCTAAGCTACGAGCTAAGCCAACAGGTTGACCTCGGGGAAAAAACCTCAGTCTTGTCGAAACTCCAAAATTCACGGTTGAAACCCGTGCCTTTGTGTAAAAAGTTTTTCTCTGCAAAAAAGAAGCTGAGAACTTGTTTATTGATTTTTTTATTAAAAGCTTTATGTGACAAAGCCTATGCTAAAGAGCTCAAACCACAGAGCGTCCGCCATTTTGAGAACCGAAGAGAGACAGCCCATGTCACGTCAAGGGGCCTCTCTCCCATTTTTCTTAAGTGACATGCTGCTCGCTCCCTCACTATCCATCCTTCGGTTCAAACAGTCATACTGCCATACGGTGGTCAAAAAAGGTACTACATGCAAAAAAATTAACCAACATTTCTTCTTAAATTTGACAATAATTATTAATTATTGTTTGACAATAATTAGACAATAATTACTAATTGTCAAATTTCAAACAATATCATTTATCGCAATAATTTCTTGGACAAATGCCCAGCAAAATTTGTTATTGTGGCAGGCCTACAGACCAGTAGGCTCAGCTTCTCCTTCCCCACAACAGACCAGAGCTGCAGACGACCTCGATTCAGCAACCCATCTCCCCACCTCCCAGTCCTCGTGAACAAGACTCCCAGATACCTCGACTCTTCTGAGGCAGAGTCTCTCCCCGGTGTCAATTATAAAATGGCACAGAATGTTAAGTTAAAATAACTTTTAATTTCTCAATAAATTGTTCTTGACACAGGAAACAAGTTTACAAGAGTCTGACTAAACAACACATTGTTCCACTTAATTCATCTTTAAATAAAATAAAGATCAGGACACACATTTAAAAAGCTCATCATAAGGTAAATGAAATTTATATAAATTTTGTTTAAGGGAAAAAAAAAAAACCCTTCTGGACACATTGATAACGTTTTATCAGTGCTTCACATTTCCTGCATAGATCTCATGAGGTTTCTACAAAGAGTCACCGTTTTAATGATTGCAAGCTTTCTGGACAGAATCGATGAATCCTTCCACATCAGTAAACATTTAATGCTCAACATGCAGCGGCAAACACCAGAGAGGCACACGGCAGTTTTACATAATGTTTCCTTTGAAGAAATGCACCTTTTCTTAACTGCTGCTCCATCGATGTACAAAACGACCACTGCTTCTTGCTTAGTTTTAAGTGTTTAGGCATAAACATTGATGGAAACTCTACCTCTGACAGGTAAATGGAAGATGCTCGTCTAAACAAGAAAAAACTGCACACGAGAGCACCTGCATTAAAATCAAAGACCGATTTTCAAAATGTCCAGTGAGTGATGTTGCTTCAGTTTAAGTGAGTTTAATCTAAAAAAACCTGAAAGTATTTATTTTAATGACAAAACTCCACGGCTGCCAGAACACTGCTCTTCAAACTTCAATCATTAGATATTTTACGAGCGACTGTGGTAGTTTTGCCAATTAATAATCAATTAGAATAAATTTAAAAAGTATCGTAATGATACGTTTGCAGCGAAGCAATCCATCCATCCATCGCAGGGGTTGCTGGTGCCCATATCCAGCAGTCACAGTGCGAGACGCAGGGGACACCCTGGACAGTTCTCAGTCCATAACAGGGACACAGAGACAAATGAGATAAAAGGTCTAGAAAGGTCCCGGGATGGGATTTGAACTGGTGACCTTCTTGCTGAGAGGCAATAGCTCTAACTAAGCCACCGTGCTGCCTGCTACAAGGCAAAGTGTTCAATTTAACTTAAATATAATACAAAATAAGTTTTTACATATACTTAATCTGTTGGTAATCAGTAATATTTAAAATTGGTGCTAATAAGAACTAATGTAATAAAAACAAGCATTCCTTAAAGGGTTGAATACCGCCCCCTTGCATGCCAAAGTTGATCAAATATCCTGTTTGATCTTTTAGCACTCAGAGCATATGTTGAGGATGACTATCAGATATAACCACCTCATGTTTTGGCTCAATATTTGAAAAAAACAAAAAAGGTCTTTCTTGAGAAATCAAGCTCATAATTTAGACTTTATTTGCATAAAAGCATCGCTAACGTCAACTGTTTTGGTGCCACTAGAGTACCAAATTGATTTGATGAGAAAATGAATTTTCTAGTCTTTTAGGCATAAAAATAATTTAAGTCTTAGAATTAAAACTCGTTTAACTCTTAGACTGAAGCGACTCTTTAATGGCAAAACTCTCATTAACAAATCAGTAAAATCAGATGTTAAATGCTTCGATTGTTTCACATCGTCTAAGCTCGCGTTTTAAAGAAGCGCATTTTCCATCACCTCCAACTCAGTTCATTCAAACAATACTTAAAAGTAAACATTTGAACAACCTTGCTGTTGAAAATGTGGACCTACAACTGAAATCCCCAACTTTGATTGTATTATTTGCTCACCAGTGTTTCCGTTTTTCTACGTTTGCGGCCTTTTTCAATCGTAGATCCCTTTGACACGTTTATTCTCGGGGTCAAATGGAGATTTGAGGTGAGCTTTGGCCTTGTACGTCACTCCCATCCTCTCCAGGGTGAACTCGCCACTCTTAATGAAATCGGCACTCACCTAATAAAGAAGGACGAAACACAAAGTCCGGTTAAGCAGAATGTAGGAGAATTAAAAACCAAAAACGGGAAAAGCAGCGATGAAAATCAAAACATACCAGATGAAAAAACACAAGACTGATTGAAGCAAACCTGCTAAAATTAATCTTTTCAACTGGATTAATGCTCCAAAACAGATTATTTTCTAAACATTCACAACAAACAGAAAACTTTGAACTGTTTAAATGCAGGAAGCAATCAAGGAAATCATGAGTCATTGTCAGTTCCCCTGAAACACAGAAATCTCATTTCCCTGCGGCACTCCCACTCATCAGCCACTCTCCTTCATTTACCGAAACACACACAGCTGTCTGCAGAACTTCAGAGGACGCAGATGAGGACTGATTTCTTAAAGACTTGCCCCAAGCAAAAGGATTTAAACGAAATGTTAAACTAATGCTGCATTCCAAATTAGGATGATTTATACATGAGAAACGTGCATTTTATTCCCCAAATAGAGGCAGATTCCTAAATAATGCAACTAAAAGTCCATAAATAAATATATAGATTTATCAGTTGCATTTGTAAAATTAAGGCTATTTTAAATATCCAAGTAGAACTGTAAATTTACAACAATAAATCTGAATAAATATAAGAATAAAAAAAAGTAAATGTTACGTATGTGAAAGTTTTATATAAAACTTTCACACAAGTAATATTTACTTTTGTGCTTTCTATGTATTTTTGCATCCAGCTATTTCTCAGATTTTCCCAGCATTCTTTGATGGAATGCATACTGCTCACCATTTTACTCAAAAACATTTTTAACAAAGATCTTGTGCAATCAGTTAGTACCCAAAGTATGTGTTGGGAAAAGTCTCAGCTACAACCGTATCAAACTTTAGCTCAAGTCGGCTGAGTTTTTTCTATTCTTGTGCTTGAAAGGCTGCTGAGCTGTGGCTGCCATCTTGGACTGAGCTGACCTCAAATGTTGACAGTTGTTGATGTCAATCTATTAAAATTTATCCAACACTTCATGCTCACAAACACACACAGACAAGTGCATTATTGCCTGTTGCTATGGATGATGGGCAGTAATGTATAACAAGACCAAAAACAACACCAAGAAACTAATACAAAATAAATCTAGCAGTATAATAATAATGGTTATATTCATGGTGTTTGTATAAGCTCTTACCACTCCTGCATTAGGGTTGCGGATGTATCCATAAGCAAGAGTTTTGTCTATAAAAAAGCCATATTCGGATCGTCGCAGGTGACCAACGGGAACACCGTTTCGGAAAACAGCCTCCAAACCAAACATTGGTACTTTCCTGATGTGCAGCAAAAAAGAAAAACAGAGGAAGTTAAAATAAGTTTCTTTCAAAGTTCTCAAACTTAAACTACAAAATACCTTTACATGGTTGACCGTTTAAATGCATCAAAGCTGACAAGATTTATAAAGTGTCCCATACACAGAAAACCTAACTTTAAAAATAACTAAAAAGCAGATTAAATTTTGTTCAGCTTCACAACAGAACTGTTACTGACTCATCGATAGTGAAGCAGACGATGCGCCTCTTCAGCCCCTCTTCCTTCTGTTTCTCCAGTCTTTCACGCCCTTGAAAGGGGATGGAGCTCTTCAGTTTGCAGGTGAATGCAAGCCCCGCCTCCAGGGGCGTGTCATCAGGGCGAAGGTCGGCATGCCAATGTCTATAACCTGAAGAAAATTACAGCAAGATATGGTAAAAAATAAATAAAAAAAGCAAAATCTGGGATTTATGGTAACTTCAGGTACAGAATGACTAAACATCATTATTATCTCTCTGATAAAATGTTACAATTTTAAATCACACCATCTAAATTCCTTCAAATCAGAGCAGGAACAGGATGATATGTTCACGTTACCCTTCTCTATACTGAGCGAGTCGATGGCTCTGTAGCCTGAGTTGATGATGCCGTGCTTTGCACCGGCAGCCATGACAGCTCTGTAGACGGGAATACAAGAGTCTTTGGGAATGTGCAGCTCCCAGCCGAGCTCTCCGACAAACGACAGGCGCATCGCTCGCACCTGGGATGACAGCGAGGGTACAGAGGAGCTTTAGAGAGAAACAGAGACGTATGTAGAGAACCAAGCTGCCACAGTAACTGGAGAGATTGCTTTAGTACGAAAATGAAAATGGAAAGAAAGCTAAACAAGTATAATTCAAATAAAGGCCAAGGATTACAAACCAACTACTGGTTCATGAGATATTTTACTAACAGACAATTAGGGTCGTCTCCAACAGATGGTGCTAAAATTTTAAATAAAGATAGTTCACGTGTAGCACTTGGTGTATGTTTTTGTATAATAATAACAATAATGTGTTATGTGTATGTTCCCACACAGTGGCAAAATTGACTCTGCATTTAACCCATCACAACTGGGATAGTCAGGTGGAGCAGTGGGCGACTATTGAAGGCAACTGGGGAGCAATTGGGGATAGGGTGTCCTGCTCAGAGACACCACGAGATGGGCAATGACTGGGGATCGAACCTGGGACTTTGTGTCCCAAGTCGGCTGCCCTGCCTCTACACCATCTCAGCCAAGCTACAATCACAACTAATTTAATCACAATATCTGTAAAATTGGCAGTTATTGTTATTTTTGTTGTAATATCAGTTGGCAGTGGATGTTGAGGAAGTTAATGAACTGTATATCTACAGTAGTCCTTTGTGGTTCGTTTTTCGTGGACTCGCCCTATTGCGGTTTTTCAAAGTAAGATTGGACATGACACACAAATGGCTGATTGATGGATGAGCCACACGATTGGCATGAGATTTTTATTTCAAATAAATTATTTTAAATTATTTAGCACCTGATGCACCTGTGTGCAGCCCACAGACGCAGGAGAAGCTTCCTCCTGCAGTGTGTCATATCTCCGCTCTGTAGCGGAGAAGTGGGCGTGGCCAAGAGCGTTGGCAGATGGCAGAGAGCAGCAGGAGGCAGAGAGTTGAGATCATGACATGCTGCGTTTAGAGATTAGAAACATTGTTTAGAATATTGCAAGAGTGTGGGAAAGGTTTAAAACGCCTTTATATATATACACTAAAATAAACTACTAATACTTGTACTACTATTCCTACTTTGCGGTTTTTCACTTATTGCGGGGCTTCAGGGTATGGATCCTTCGCAATAAACGAGGGACTACTGTATTCCCAGTGGTTACTTTTTGCTAATTTTATTCAAATTTGTCAAATGTTTTGAGAGATATTCTGCTACACAGACAGACAAAAAAGAAAAATAAATGGTCTTTGCCTTTGGGTAGTTGACGATTAAAAACTTAGAAAAGGAAAGTGTTTTCCACGTCGGTGCATAAACAGCAAGTCCATTTGGCCGGTCAGTGGGTAACTCTGGGCCCCATATGTCCATCATGAAGGGGGAGGGGATTCTACAGAGAAGCATGTGCTTACAACACGCAGCAGATGCATGCTTGCCTCACACACGACAACACGCGTCCACTTAGCAGCCAAAAAACACACAAACAAGTTCAAATGCGAGCCCAAATTCATCTGAACAACTGTGCACGCCGGCGCACCCGCTACAGATG